GCGAGCCAGAAATATTCTATTTCCTCGCCTGGAGCGCTGCTCAAAACTTGAGAGCTACGGGCCTATTAGCGGCGAGATGTTTCGGTGGCGCCCTCGTGTGCTTACTTTTTGCGACGTCATTATCTTGTGAACAACAAGTTCTATGGTGTTTGTAATGAGCAGGTGGAAGCCTGAAATCATAGCGCTCTCAAAGCAACACAGCAAACACCGTCAAAATTGAAGTTCTTACATTCCTCTTATTTCCGTCGATCAGACATCCTTTGCTGACGTCATAGTCAGCATTCGACCAATTGTGGTAGGCCGACCACAGCGACGCTTTCGATCGCTCACGTCGCCAATAGCCCACTCGGCCACCGATCCCCTTCCGTTAGTGTGGTTGCTTTGTCCCCTCCCGCCTTGTGGACGGAGGTTATCACCACGTGCCTCATAGATAAGCATGGGTAAACAAGAGCACGGTTTCCCCAAATTCAATCTGGGTCTCGAGGCCAATAGCTTCACGAGACGAACGCTACACTCGTCAACATAACAAAGCTTTTGCAGCGACCCATGCCGCTTGTTTCTAGACAAGCTCTTCGTCGCCGGTTCTTAATCCAATTACAAGTAAGTTTTGACAAGCCGTACTTGGCATGTCTGCCGACACTGTATATTGTTCGCTAACTTATGCCCGAGTCCCACTAGAGCAACAAACAGAAACCAACGACAGTGACAAGCCTCAAACACATGCAGCATGCTCGCGATGGTACCTTTGGCAGGCGTTTAGTCATTCGGCGCTCGTGAAGTAAGCACGAGTGATTGCAAGCTTGCAAAAGATACCGTCGCGTGCATGATGCCCGTGTTTGAGCATATCCTTCTTTATTCTAGAAATCCTGTCAAATTACGAAAGACTTTGGTCGTTTGTCGTTTGTTTCTGTTTGTCGCTCTAGTGGGACTCGGGCATTAGTAGTGCTAAACGGTCTATTTATTTATTTAATTATTTATTTTATTGACGATGTGTTTGATCAAAAGCGTCGCTGCGGCTATTGCGGCAAGGAACGAATAAAACTGCCTTTCCCAACAGCACTGCGTTTTTTACGTCGATCGGGCCGTGTTGGTCAAAACCTCGTGTTTCTTTGATGTAGCGGTGGGGGAAACAAACACACGATCATGAGGCGCAATGCTACGTGAAATGACGGAACACTTGCTAGCATTGTTGCAGGAGTTTCCTTGTCGTGAAGAAAAGGTTCGAAAAAAAAAAAAAAAAAACGATCCTATGGGCGTTGTCTGTTACGACTACAAGCCATTCAATTCAGTTCGAAGTGGCCCATCTCGCCGCAACAGCACGTCGGTATTTCTGACGCTCCGCTCGAGCTGCTTGCAGTGTGATCGTTATCAACGCTCCCCGGAGGGCTCGTTTTAGGGTGCACAATTTTGCGCGAGCTATTCTCGGCCTAGCGAAAGGTGCGCGGATTACTTTTAAACAGACGTCATCAAATTGGCTACCCCAAATTTACGTCAACAATTAATTAGGGACGCCCTTTAGTAGCACCAACTCTTCAAGGGGTATGAATACAGGGTCGATTGTGCTCGCGAGAGAGCGTGACTGTCGAGTCAAAGCCACGGTCACAACGCCTCACAATTTTGACGCAATGATGGGCCTGTCACATTCCTTGTGAGAAGCTGTCTAGACGGGGCCTACTTTCATGGCAATGAAGACCTCGAAATACCATACACAAGGTCTTCTTACCAAGCCGATTGGTTCTGGGTCGAACAATGACCGCGGTGCATTTTCCTGGCGAGACCGTGCCGATCCATACTATATTTAGCGGTGCTAAAAACTCGGATACTCCTCCCTTATCGAGTCGGTACCCCTATCTCTTCTTCGCTGCTGTGGGAGCGAACAATGGTGTAAGTTCTCGAAGCTTCGCTAACGATATCAGCCTATCAAGAGAGAAATTATTTGTGAAGCAACGTTCGTTTTTCCTTGTCCGATGTGACCTGGTCACGGCGTACATATTGTTTTACGATAGCCATCGCTTGTATTATTGCGGTCTATTAAATTTCCGGTTCACAGATATGCGTATCGTTTTTTTTATTGACGTATATTTCGACAGCGAGACAACAGAGAGCAATATTTACTAACCCATTGGTGCCGATATTGGAAGCGTTATCGTTGATTTGCATAACATATGTAATTATATGTGCAAGGCACGCTTTTTTTTTTCTTTCTTTTTTCTTGGAAACGATAGACCAATTTTTACTCGCGTCTTTATGGAGCATTGTACTCTGTTTAAGTTTGTATTTCTTATGCTATTTTATTTCCTGTGTCAAAATGACGCCTTCCGACCGACTTACATGCAAATAAATAGAAACAAAACGCAACAGGACGCTATTTTTGAACACAGAAATAGATTTTAGAACTACTTTGCAACCCGGTTGCCTGCGTAGCTTTACAGCCGCGAAAGATGCGAGCGCGTAATATAAAAGTCTCGTCACTCACTATAATTCTCCGACAACCACGATCAGTGAACCATCGGGTTAACATGTCCTATACTTATGTACAGAGGCACCCAATTGCATTTCTCTTCATGTGGGAGGATCTACTTCATTTTGTACATCATTCGCTATCGGAGGGTGATTCTTAGCGACGGCTGAACGCAAAAAGGACGCAAATGTAACATGCCTTCAAGTTTTCGTAAAATAAACGTCAATCCTATGGGTCTAAAATGTATTCCAATTTACCTTAATACGGGATTATCAACTCTTTTCTTCTAGCAAGAATAGTCACAAGGAGGGTTTTAGGGCATAAGACTTCTGCTCTAATTGAAGTGCGTAAGATCGTGCTTTTTAGTTTCTAGCTTAAATGCACACTTTTAAAAGTTATACCATCTTATAGAAAACAATATTTATTGTGGTATGCATGGGATTGAAAATAGCTTGAGTTGGTCTGTGGAGACAACGATCAATAAATCAAATGTCTTGAGCTGTCCGTGGAGACAATGAAGAACAAAAATCAAACTCCGCACTGAACTTCAATCGGGCTTGATTCTCTCGAGGCAAAATAAATGAAACTGATATAACTCTGGTTGTAAGTATTTTTCCAGTTGCCAAGTGAACATACGTTTTACAAGGCTTAATTGGCAAGTCATCTCAATTTCGAAAGTTTTGCCTACTGAAATGCCTAATAAGCTTCTTCCAATTTTGTTGGCATAAAACGTCGTTTGTCTCTCATATATCGAAATCGTGAAACACGTTTTGCCCCCAAAAGTTCTCCCTATCATGATTTTGATTGGTGACATAAATCTTTTACGAGAAGTCAAAAGATTTTGCATACACTCGGATAAAGGATATTTTTCTACCTTAGCGTTAATTTTAAATGCACGTACGTACCTATTTCTGCCTATGTGACTGTTCTTTGCGTGTTTAAAACGGCTTTGTGGAGTCTACAAAGTATATTTCAACTCAAAAATTATGTGCAGCTTTTGGAAGGCATATGCGCAAGCGAGGGGCCTTATGGAGTGTTGCGCGCGAAAGCTCGTGCAGACAAAACAATGTGCCGAGCTACGCTCCCGCACTCGTCTGTTTGACAGCACTGCACACATTTTGTCAGATGGAGTATTTCTTCACTTCAAGGGCCTACCAACATGCAGGTCTATTATAATTATAAACTTATTTATCTCAAATTCAACGGTGACTTAATGGTGTTTCAACGACGTATAAAAAGCTGGAATATGAGGAAAATAGGCACGTACAAAAAAACAAGTTATAAAAATTTGTGAATTTCTTAGAAGAAGGGTTCGAACTCACGCCCACATTCGTGAACCAGAAATATCGCACCTCCAGGAAACGCAAAGTGACAAACCTTGAGTCTGGCGCCTTAGACCACTCGGTCATCCTGAGTATTTATTTATTGCCGGCCATTCTGACAACGGAATTCTTGACGTCAGTCATTCTCAACTCTAGCAAAATTTTGGTTTGTACAAAACACAACTAGCGAAAGAATCCAAAGGCACCCAAAAGCACCAGCACCTAGCTCTGAGCTGAAGGCGTAATATCATAGGTTGAGGAAACCTTTATTGGGCCTACTAAAGTAAGTGTAAAAATTACTATAGCTTTCGATGATCCAAGTTATTGAACAATATTATAAAATACGTGGCTGCTCGGGACACCTGTCGGCTTCCGTTACCTGCAGGAAGAGGTACGATAAGAAGGGAAAACAGTGGGGGAACTGAAGTGAATTCTTATGGTGACGGCATTTCCCCCTGCCTGTTGATAAAAAAAAAAAAAAAAAAAACACATCTTACGGTGCCTTAAAATAATCCAAGATTATAGGTAGTCCCATTCTCAGACGAGCCAGGTTGTGATGCAATGTCGGTATGAACTGTAGAACGGCTTGAACGATAGTGTGTGACTGCGTGCGAGTGAAAGAGAGAAACAAAGAGCAAAGAAATAGGGTTCGAGAGTGTCAGTGACCCAAAGTTGCAACATTACAAAAGGCAAACGAACCCCAAACTGTCAAGTTTTTTCTTAGGTTGCGACGAGGTACCGGCGGTTGCGCTGGTTACGGATGCTATTTTCGCTGGCCCCATGAGTCACCTCCTCGTAACAATTGTGGGAAGACCGCTGCGAACCTTCTACGTCGGGATGCTGCAGGAGCAAATTGAGACTCCACACTGCGCGCTCACACAGCCTTGACCTAAGCTGACCCCTGCTCGTATGCAGCGAGCAAAAGTGTCTCTTAGCTGCAAAAGTTCATGTGCTGTTTCAGCGCTTTTAGTTGCCCCCGCCCCATTTTGGCATCAAATTAATTTCGTATAAAGATAAGGGATATGCACTTACGAGGTACGAGTTGACGAGGCTTTGGGAGATGTTATCACATCCCACGTAGAGCTCTAAGCGGCAGCGGGAGACTCCGAAGCGGAGAGCTCGGGTTCGTAACTTTGCCCGATACACATGTCGAGGCTTAGAGCTAATTGTTGGTCTCCTTTGTCTTAGGCAGTGCGCACGGTGCGTTATCTTTCCAGATGATGACGCGGAAGTGCCTGGCGGCAGCAATGGCCGTCTTTTTCGTGATCATGGGCGCAGCGTCTGTGGCCCACGGAAAGAAACTGCGCAAGGTGGCCGTTCTGGCGGGGTTTTACGGATTCGGTGCAGGAGTCCACTTGCTCGGCGGCTTGGGAGTACTGCACGGGCTGTACAGCCATTACGGGAGCTCGAGCCACTATAACTACGGCTACCACGACTTCCAGCACCTGCATCCCATTCCTGTGCCTCATCCCGTACCAGTTCCCGTGCCCGTCCAGTAAGATAACGTGAATATTTTATCCTACTGTGCACGAATGCACAATTTACTCAACGTAAATTGTGCATTCGTGTTTCACGTTGTGCATCCATGTTAAAGGAATGCACCGTTTATAATTGGGGCACCGCCTAAAAAAATTCAAATCTGACAAAATATGTAATGAGTGTAAATTAATATACAACTATCTAGCAGTTATGTGGAGTAATTTGTTCTCTAAAACTGCGTGAGGTGCGCTCAATCGCAAGTACCAAAATTAGGCCCGTGAGGTACAATTTGGGTATCCGAAAGTTGAACGCACTTTTGTACCTGCGAGTATTTTGGTAGCATAGCTTAATGTCACCCGGGATACTCTCCAGATGCTTTGAGCCTACAGATCATGGGTCATAGATGTGTTGTAAAGTTTTTCCCTCTTATATTGGTTCGCACACTTGCGACTGCTTACGACTGTGCCTTAAAACTTCTTAAAACCTCTTACGACGAGTGAACACACTGGCGCCGTCAATCGAGTAACTATGGAACACTTGCAGTTCCAGGGTTACTTGATAGATGGCGCCAGCGGGTCATTTTGTTCCTTCCTCGTAAGAGATAAAAAAAAAAAAAAAAAACTCAATCCTGAGCAAACGCAAGTGTGTGAACTGGGTTTCGTAGTACACATCATAAAAAAACATGTATATTGTTAAATTTATTTCTATCTATCAGTTACATCCACATAGCACGCTGGGGTAAAAAAAGCAATTAAATTAACAGGAAAACTCTAACCAAACTGAGCGGCATACAGCGTTCCTATGTAATCATGCTTTGTCGATTTTCTTGTCGTTCCAGTGTTCATCACCTTCACGCGGCGCATTATGATGGCGTCGGTTACCACGACGACTACGGCCTCTACGGGGGCCACGGAGGCTTGTGGTAATAGAAATCGCAGCTTCCTTTTAAACTTAGCATCTCCTCATCATCGTAATATTCACTGGCACACACACACACACAGACAAAAAGAAAAACTGCGGCGGCATTGTTAGAAAGAAAAACAATTATAAATAAATATTGTATGTTTGCAGGCAGAGAGATAATAAATCAAACGTGATACTAAAAAACTCACCATGTATGCAAAACTGAAATAAAAAAATAATTGCGTACTCTGTGTACAAATAACACTAACCCACTGTCTGTGTTGTGTTATTTCTTTGTGCCACCAAGAATAGAAATGGTGCAATTGGTATCAATTAAGTGTACACTTTGAGGAAGGGAACAGAACGACGTGGAAAGGCAGGTCAAAGCACGGGAAAAAAGTACTATACAGGTAGAGATAGAGAGAAGATTAAAGAGGGAAGAGGACAAGGAGAGAGCGCGTCGTCGTTTATGTGAAAATCTGTAGAAGCAAAAAACAAGCGTAGATATCGTCTTATAGGCATATGTGGCAGTTGTTGGAGAGTTTTGAAGGATTACCATTCAAGCAGTAGCCCAATGAAATTGCAAATTCACAGACTACCTTTGTGTGTTCATAGAAAAGATAAACGTGTTATTCTGATTATGATCATGAAGAAGAATCGTACTTTATGCCAAAAGATTTACATTCGCGCAGACTTGCGGGCGGTTGGATAAACCAAAGAGGAAGGTATACCTTCTCCTTCCGGCACTCAGCCGGGACAGTCGCAGAGTTCTTAGCTCAGAAAGAATGTCACTAACGGTATTCGTTGGATCCGAACTCTTTAGCGCCGACTGCCTCCTCTAGACAGCGGATAATTTTCCCGTCATTACCGGCGCGGAGTGTTGCCCTGGATGTAAACTTTTTAAATTATGATCTGACCGGACGGGCATACTTGAGAGAATACTTCCGGCTACAACTTGAAGGGTTCCGTGTGTACGGGAAATGAAAGAGTCAAGTTAATGAACCGCGTGTCAATGGACATATACGACACACGTTGCTGGAAAATATAAGCTAGCCCACCCGAACATGTAGACATTTGACAGAAGCATAAAGACAAAGCGATTGTTGCTTTTCGTCGGCTTTAGTCACTCCTGAAGAGCATACCGAGTTGGTCTCGAAACGTTAAAAGTGCAGCTTTAGGCGAGTTGGTTGTTTATATACCTTCGATGTTACAGCACACAAAAGCAGACACACAATTTTTACAGGCACACAAAAAGGAAAACACGCAGCGCTGACTAACCACTTTGTTACAAAACTGGGTTTTTAGCAGGGTGTAAGATGGACAGGTGGGGAAACGGCCCATAGAACCCTACCGCAGCGCCGTGACCGGATTGTGTACTCGTCTGCTTGCGGGTACCCCCGATTTGCGACAGATGGCGCTGCGGCGAGAGGAAAAAAATTGGAATCGAATTTACATGGAACTTTATGGGAGAGTGCGCAAAATAAACCGAGAGCACGACATTCTTTCATTGAAAATCCACGAGAAATCATCTCCGTCAGTTTAGCCGGTCGCCACCGGTCGCCCACCCGGAGTGAGAGTTCGCGGTGCTCCACATAGATGGCGCCACAGAAAAAGAGAAACCCGAGGGGGACAAAATCCGGTCGCTCATTTTTTGTGTGCCTGTGAAAATTGTGTGTCTGCTTTTGTGCGTTGTAACATCGGAGCTACGGGCATCGTCCATACTCAGTCAATGCCACAGTACCTCTATGTCGTAACTTCTAGAATAAAAATTAACCGTTTTACTGATCAAGCTCGAGTGTCACGGCATTATGGAATGGATAACGAAATGCGAGGGTAGGCGAGGCTGACAAAAAAAAAAAAAAAATTTGAAAAGGAACCTCCGCAAATTCCCAGGGTGGTGATCGATGTTTTGTAAATCTCATCAAACGCCGGCCGCCACTCTTGCGTTTCGAAGTCAGTCCCTTTAAGCTATGATGGTAATTGTATGAGTGAATGCTTTTGGTGGTGGTGGTGGTGGTCCTTTCTTCGTGAGGCGCCGAGGACTCCCGATGACTTCGATGATGTTGAGGTAAAGTCGGTTGAAGATTGGGAAAGAGGGGAGGGGGGGTAAATAACTTTATGTACAGGGAACGGAAATATACAGATTTTCGAGTCGAGAAGAGAGCTTTCTGGACGCTCCGCGGAACATCTCCCCGGCTACTCGAGGTGAGCTAGGTCTATCCACCTAGCTCCAGACGAGGACGCTGCCCGGCATTCATGCAGTTCTCTCCCTCTTTAAAAAAACAAAATGCGTAGAGAACAATGCTGAGGCTGACATCATATTTGTCTAACGCTTCTCCTCAAATCTGACATCACCTCGTCTTAGCTCTTCTCTCACATTCGTTGATTCTGACGTCAGGTCTCCAGTTCCGCGTCCTTGCCACACGAATGTGCAGTAGCAGGCAATAGTACCATCAGCAAACATAAACAAGACACCCCCGCTTGTATGGCACTAGTACAGCGGGCACGCTCGCAAAGGAAACCTGATACCTGAATCCAACCGCGGTGCTAGCATTTTCCACGGCTCGGCGGAGGCATTCCTTACCTCCGAGCGAAAACAAACGAAAAGCGGTAGCGCCGGACCTTACTGTATGCATGAGACAGAGGAAGCATATGCCATCGGAGCCACTTTTTGTTTGCTATCGCGCGCCAGCAACTGCAAGAGCAGTACTGACCACCACCACAACCTCCGCCACCATACAACAACGAAGAGGACCACGACGACGGAGAAACTGACACCGTAACACCGGTTGTAATCACGTTCAGCACATGCGACACGGGATGCAGACCCACAATCCACCATATATTATGGGACTGTACCAGCTTAGAACAAGTGAGAAGTCAGCACAGGGGGCCCAACATCGCCGCCTTGGAGAAGTGGACCCCGTGGCGTCACTAGAAAGGGGGGGGGGGGGGGGGGGGGGGTTCGCGGCGGGCCACCGACCCGGGTGCCACCAACCCTAATGGCGAGACACGGACGCTCGCCAAACGATAATCTCCCTGTGGGAGTTTGAGAAGCAAGCCGTCATCACTAGTAAGATGTAACAAATCCCATGTAACCCTTCACCCAGGCACGTAACCAAAAGGGGGGGGGGGGGGCCGATGGGAACCGGCCCGCCTCCCCCCCCCGAAATCTTCCATTTTGCTGGGACCTCCTCTCCCCCGTCCCCCTCATACAGCATTTTGCCATGGGCGCCCTACGTGCCTGCCTTCACCCCTTACCCCAAATTAGGCCTTCGTGCCATCCTTTTCATCGATAAAGTTCAGCGGCAGCACAGTTAAGCGCGATCCAAACCAACGCTTCTTTTTGCGCCTGTAGGTCGTGCGGCTGCGGATGTGACGCATTCCGCGTCGTTTTTGCTGTTTCCGGGCGCGCTTTCTGAGTCAGAAGCGTGCGCTTTGGTTTGGACGGGCCAGCTACGGGCGGGGGCGCACGCGCGCACGCAGGCACGAGCGCACAAGCAAAGTGCAACAGCGACAGACTGGCCGGCGAGAGAAAGAGAGAGGGAGAGAGATCGCGTTGTCATGTTGGAAGAGAATAAAAGGGGGGGAGGAGAGGGCAGCCAGACGGCGAGAAACGCGGAGCCGGAACTAGCTTGCCCTCCACCGATTGGCCGGGACACAGGCGCGGCCTGCTACGTCACCGCGCTTTTTTGTGCGGCTTGAGAAAGAAGTTGAAATCAACCAACTTCTTCGTGCGCGCCCGGAAGGAGCGAAGAAGCGGCGCGACGTCACGAAAATGCGTCACATCCGCAGCCGCACGACCTACAGGCGCAAAAAGAAGCGTTGGTTTGGATCGCGCTTTATCGCACCCCCCACCCCCCTCCCCTTACAAAAAAAGAGAAACATGCCAAACACATCACAGGCAGACGTCACTGTGGAATATTGTACAATAATGAGAAACAAGTTACTGTAGAATATTGTACTAAACATTCTGCTTAAGGTTCAATTGGTGTGCAATATAAGCCCACAGTGGTGAAAGGTGGGGATTTTCCTTCGTTCCAGTCAGTTCTGACTAATTGAAGGTCGCCTACACTAATCATTTTGCTTTCGTAACGAATGTGTTTACTCAAGTAAGTATATATTGCAATAATATCTAGCAGCAGATTACTTCGGTCAAGCCAACATCTCATTAGTTCATCCTGTGGATATTTCAAGTTTTAATTTTTAAAACTGATTACCCAGAAAAAGAATACAGCGAGAACGAAAAGCGAATTCCCGAAGCCCGATACTTCAAATTAAAACTGCATAAAAGCGATCTATAAAAAGACAAGTAAATGTAATTACCATACGTGAAATACAATACCAACACCGATCAATAATAGAAAGAAAGTGATTCAACACAAAACTGTATAATTCGTATCACAATGACCAAATGAGAAGCCAAGTGCCTCATCCATTTTTGTGTTGTAATTGTAGCTGCTTTTTTATTAATGGTTTCTAACATCGCCCGAGATGTTATTATCATACAGTGTTCTATGATGGTCCTATGTGAATCTGTACAGTGTGCTCAACTGTTAAACATAACGCGGGAGCGGTGGCCGAAACTGATAGCAGAGCTGTCTAGCGATTAAATCAATGATGCGGCAGAGAATAAGCCGGCACTTCTTGGGATTGTCGCCAGTCCCCGATACAATTATCGCACGACCTTCTCCTTCCTTTCTTTATTACCCACGCTTCAAATGTTTACTTGTTTGTTTTGTTGTTTTTTCCAGTCTGTTTAGTCACATCTACGCATATACCATGCCGGGCTACCATATCTCGGTGATCTTGCAGTTTCTCTAATAAAGGCCACCTTCTTTAAACAACAACAAAAACAATCAAAAAACGATTTTTTTTTTTTTTTTATCGCCGAGTCACGCATCGGTGATTGTTTCGGAGCTGGGAGTGTAACTCCAGAAAACAACAGCGGCATAAGCTTCCAGAGTCGTCTTTGATGTGGGGCACCCGTCTGGGGAAATTTAGGCACCATGTAAATATTTCT